GAACGCGGCATAGCGGAGGGGCCGCGCGTTACACACTGATATGTACGTTTCATGCGCGAATTTACAGCGCAAGTTCATTTGTTGGAATTATCTCTCGAATCGGAGCGAGAGACGCACGTCTCGCGGGCGCGGGAAACGAGGAATAAAACCGAGCATCTCCGCCATTTCCGTCGGCTCTGTCGGCGAAATCGCATTTTCCCCGGCGTATCGCTTCCCGCTGTCGGATTAACGCGCGCGAATATCAATCGCGAGTAAACAAGGCACGCGCGGGAATCAAAGTCCAGGAAAACAATCATATGAGCGTTCGGGATGAAAGGAGATTTTTTTCATATTCTTCTTTCGCTGCACGCGATCGACGACCGATATCGCCGGACAAATTGCGGGCTTTTAATTGCATCCGCGATCTAATTGCGACAATTATCGCATTGCGTAGGATGCGCGTTACTGGCCGTTCGATCGCGAAAACAACGCGAGCGTTTAAATCATCGCGGCGGCCACGGACGGCGACGCGTAATGCGGTGTTCGATGTACCCGCAATTGAAAATCCGTGATTTTTCAATGTTGCCTGTGCACACGCATAAATCCGCGAGACAAATCAGCTTGATTTCGCGGCGATAACAACGGCGGAAAGAGATGCCCGTCATTATGCCCTTCTCTTTTTTAATTAAGCTTCACGTTCATTGAATACCGGTGAACTCTGTGCTACACCCGGAATGCCGAGTGTGTTGAAAAACCGGCAATGGAGAGTATAATAAATACACGGAGAAAAAAGTTTGGTTGTATTAATCGGAATGGGAGCAGTCCAGATGCATTTCGGTTGAAAGAGAAAACGGAATTTCTGGTTATAAGGAACAAAATTATTTTGTTGCAGTAACCAAACATGTACTTGTTACCAAATTCTCCTTTCAGTTTCTAATAATCGTTGAGTTTACAAATCTTACGTCGGAACTGCGGCAAAGAGTTAAGTTTTCATGAACGAATCGTAGATAAATCACGTAAATTTTCGTAGAAACACTATTGAGTTCTTTCCACAAAGAAATCGGTGAATTCGTCGAATACTTAATTACTCTGTTACGTGAATAAATATTGAAGAACGACTAGATAATTGAGCGGGACCGCGAAAGCAAACACGAGTCGACAGAGCAAAGGAGTACCGCGCGAAGATGTTTGGAGCGATCTCATAGAGATCGTTCTCCACTTGCACAGCCAATGGAAGGAAGGTTGTAATACTTTGACTTTGATGAATTTCAAAGCGCGTCCAATTTTAAAAAATTAAAAATTTATATACTTTAATAAATTTATACTTTTTTTTTAACATTATAAAGCTGTAACATTTGTCATATACATTAATTGTAGATTATTTGATAAAAATTACTCACACAGATAAAATTAATCGGATGGTAATGTAAAAATTACGTTTTTCTATTCACGGTTAATCATTAAACTTTTTAAATTAATGTTGTCATCATAATATCAGTTTAAACGACAAGTTAGTCAGAAAAACCGGGCCTAAGTGTGTGCACAAATTTTATCTTATCACATTGATATTGCAGATATCCGTCTCGCTGTTAATTATCGGTCACTTGATCGGCGACGAGCACCATTTGCGACGGTGGCTCTCGAACGATCAGCGTGCAAATAAGTGTCTGGTGCGCGAGAGAGAGAGAGTCGATAATTACCTTCCAGACAATTTAGCGCGTCGCACATTCAGCGAACGGGCACGATACCTACCCGCCCGTCACAGGCGCGACATTAGGAGCTAACTAGGACGCGTAATCTAGGATCCGCAGTAGCGGCGACAGCACGTCGGGTCTCACTTGTACTCCGTTATCGCGTCGAGCTAGAAGGTAGAGAGGTCGGTTCACATGGAATCCTAATAACGGCTCTCGACGCCACTTACCCTTACACGCTCTCTCGGCCAACGACATCGAGTCGTCGTTCGCCATCTCGGTAGAGGTCGTCGGGACGTCGTCGGTGCCGCGACCCTGAAAATCGCCGAGTTTCGAGCTGGCTTCCGGCCTCGCATTACCGCAGCAGCCCCCGTAGGGATTACACGAGCCACCCGCCGGTGGTGGCCGATTGCTCGGCAAATAGGATTGCGCGGCCGAACAACTACTGTCTGGCAGAGAGAGAAGGAGACTCGCGTTACAATAGCGTTGCATATGCACGCTCGGGTTCGTATTTGCCGATGAGAGGCGCGCGCGAAACGTATGTACAATGCAACGAAGTCTCGGCGGTGGTACCTTCGAAAGACATTTTCCGGAGGAATATATTGACTTCCCCGCGCACTTCGTTCTTCTCGACAGAGAGGAAGAGCAGCGTGATTCTCGATATCATGCGAAAATTTCAGCCTTTTCCCTCCAGTCGCCCACGCCGCCGTCGAATCGATATATTGGCTCCGCTGTGTTTGCCACGGGGTTACGCGGGCTGTTCTTTACGTCCCGGGCGTTTTATTTTTCCCCTAGCGAAGTCAAACATTCGTACTCCGGGAAATTCATTGAAAATTTTCAAACCGGCGGTTTATCATAGCGCGGAAGGTTAGTTCCGGCGCGTTTGAGGAAACGCATAAATTCGCGAAACGTCCGACATGATGTTATTCGCGACTTCTGTTCAAATGCCATCCAGGTGAAATCCGTTTAATACATAGTCGGGCGTTATTAAATATTTTGCGCGTCGATGTATAATAAACACGTCTAGTAATTAATAATTCCTTTCTCGTCTCGCGACCGCAATCCCGGCGCAGACAACGGTCTACCGTGTGCCAACCGACAACGGCGCGGCGCGGTATCACAAACGTGATTTACAGTATTATAAATCTAACGGCGCTATTCGACGGCGGGGCTAACAAAAAGCGACGGTAATAAAACGACGAGATTATTGTTGCAGCAACCACACGCGACGACTGTGCCGCAACGCTCGCCAATTTTCTAGCGAGCGCCGTAATAACCGACCGTCCATAAAGAAACGGCAATGTTATTTCGCAGCAGTGCATCTTCGATTCGTCGCCGCGATCATCGCCCTGAAAGAATCAAAAGAGAGTTAACGCCTTAAATACCGCGCTGATCGTCTGATTATTAAAACAGTTAAAGATAGGGAAGATGTTACCACACTTTTTACATACTAATTCAAAAGAAAAATGTATTTGACGATATCACGTACATTTTTTAATGTAACTACATTCTTTAGCTTGAAAAAAATATATACTTCGGATGTGCAACCGCGATAGCGCGCGAGAATCGCGGGAGGCTTGCCGACGGCTTTGAATTCGAAACGTCTTCTTATCGCCGTGTCCCGACGCCGTTACCGTATGAAGGAATTTGTCCGTAATGTCGCACCGAGATTTCGAACGTCAAGTGTATGTGAATTCTGTACTTCGTATCGACTCCTTTCCGACAGAATATTTCCGCAAAATACATTCCACCTAACAAATTTCGCACGTGCAAACAAGTTTACCGGAACACGCTGAAATAAAAGGATGTGATCGTATTGAGATACGTGTTAAAGACGATATCGTTTACGTAACCGTAAATAACATTTAATTTTGTAAATAGCAATTAACTTTGACTTTATTTACCTCAGCTTCGGGATTTTTTTTCCTAATTTTAGTATGATAAATTTACGGACCAACTATCCTTGGTAGAAAAGAGGAAGTTCTTCTCTCTCGGTATGCGATCCATCATAGCGCGCACGACCATGAATCACGATCGTCATCGGACAATACCGGTTTGCAAATATCTGATAGGGTCCTTTCCGTGACCGCCGAAGCTCAGCTGCCTTAGCCGGGGGAAGAAGGGGTGCCGAAGGTAATGCTCACAATGCATGAGATTGTCGGAGACAACGGTGGCATCGCGGCCGCTCATCTTGGTGGCCGGACGGACTATCGATCCCGACTCCTCTCTCCTCGCGTGTTGCAACGTGCGGGCCGAGCAAGCGCGCGATGCTTCACGGCGGACCGGACACGGAGATTTCACGGATATACGGCGTCCGCGTGCTTCGTGTCGCTTAGGGAAATGTCACCGATCTTCCGGATTACGTCGTCGGATATTCCGCTCCGCTTCTCGCTATCGGCGATGGATTATTTCGCGAGACTGCTTCTTTCGTCCGTGCTTTCGATCGCTCGCGCGCTTACATCCGACAAAGGAGTATTAGCGTCGCGAAAAGATATATTTCGTTGCTTGCTTTTCTCTCTCTCTCTCTCTCTCTCTCTTCCCTTCTTCCCTGTAAGTGGAATATCGGAAAGGGATATGAAAATATTTTCATGCTTAAAGCTCTTTTATATTACTCGGAGGTATTTTTGTTCCGTGAAAGGAGAGTCGAATGAGATAGAGAGGCGCGATATTACGATGTTTCTTAATTTACAAAAGAGACAATTGGGAGGACTCGCTCGCGAGACGTAACTCCGAGGGAGAGCGGTAATGGAATATGCATCGCGAGAGAGATTACGTTACGATGGTGCGTAAAGTGAGAGTGGAAGAAGAACGAAATCCCGCGGAGGACGACCGCTTGGTCGCCTCTCGACGCCCTCCCGGCCGTTCGCTTCCCGATGTACGACATCTCATTCTCCCTCCCTTGTGAAAGGAGCCTCCTTTCTAATTTCCGTGAGGAACTGCGGCACAATGACGCGCGGAGACCTGCCGTCGCTTAACTCCTGGAGGAGGGCGCGTTTATGGCGCGTCGTAATGCCGTTGCCGTTCTCGCTCATCGAAGAGCGCCCTCGGAAGCTCCGGGCGTTGCCGTCGCCGTTGACAAAGACCTCTGTTGAGAAACCGGGGAGGAGCGGCAGGGGGAGTCTGCGGCGCGCTTATAATGGGACTCCGGAAACAATGCTGTCCGGTATCGAACCGTCTGCTTTTTTCAGGCGTCTCTTGCGACGAAGTTTGCGTCTGGCGTTTGCGTTTCGTTATATTCGGCTTATGTGTGATATCAGATTAATCATCGAGAGACACGCGTGCGACGTCATATTGCGGTCAATTGTTCTATTCCTTGTTCTCCATTTTTCAGTGTTCCCGGGCACGCTGTATCGACGATAGGGCAGCTGCTCTGTGTTCAAAGTAGCATACTCACAGTGTACCACTAGGTAAGCTTTTATTCTTATTACATAATAATATATAGATCTATAGTCAGTTTTATAAAACCAATTTCTTATTTTCCGTTTTCTCTCACATTTTTTTGGCTTCTTTCTTAAAGGGGTAGAAAAACAATTATTTTAGAAAAATTCACGTGTGTTCGGTTGACTTGCCACATTTACTTTCTTTTCTGTACAGAAGATAATTGCGTGCACTTGATTGAAGTTAAATGTTATGTGTTAAGTAGTGATATATTATCTTCGAAGAATCACAACCGAATTTACTGTGAACAAATATGTGATATAATATTACATATTGGAAACGGAAAAAATCCGCAGAAAAATAGAGAAAAATCAGATTTTCCGAATATTTAAAACTATAGATCCAATACAACATAAAATATAAATGTAATACTGAATATTCAGATTTTACCTCTTTGTAAAGCTTAATTAATGATAATTGTACACAATAAATCCAGCATAGTTAATGAGAAACTTAAGTGTGAAACATGATATCGATCTGTAGTACGCCGATACTGGTTTACGCAAATATCGATAACAATCGTTGTAGTCTCTATGAAACACATATTCCCTTCGTTATATCAACTTGGCAGCTGTTGGACGTAAAAATAGAATGCGTAACACATACAAAATAGAATATTCAATATAAAATAAAATATTTAAAGCAAAATGGAATATTTAATGTAAAACAGAAAATATTTAAAATAAAATATTAAATATAAAAAAAAAAATATATATATATATATATACTCGTAAAAACATTTTATAACGTTTCATTTATCATTGAATTGTACTATTCAAGCATAACATTTTTCATTTGAGTAGTATAAGTCAATGACAAGACGGACGGCAAGAAATCTCCAACGGAACAAGTAGTACGAACAGACGATAAGTCGGGCGGCGAAAATTGTTAATTTAAGTAATTAACGATAAGTCAGACAGCAAAACTCTCCAAACAGACAAGTAATAGTAAGTCAACGATACGTCAGATGACCGAACATTTTTTTCGTTTTGATAGAACGAATCAACAGCAGATCAAATCCCTCAAAATTTTTGAATTGCGAATATTGATTAAGGAGAGATGATAATAGACATGTGAATCTGGGTTGGAACATGAAATGGTCTAGAATAATATGAAATTATTTATTGAATTATACCAGTAATACGATATATTATAATATTATTATAATATTGAATTACATATTATAATAAAATCACAATACCAGAATATATATATTATAAAAATACAATAATGCAATATATGTATTTTTTGTAATTGCATATTATAATCACATTAAATATACAAAGTATTTATATTACACATGCTTAGTATTTATTGTGCTATTATTATAATGGTAGACAGAAGGTAGTATTATGACCCTTTAGTTATAATAGACGGCCTTTAATGACCGCTCGTCTACGCAGTCAAACGTCGCCGGCAATAAAACAATAATTACCTAAAATCAAAGACGTAGCGATGAAATACGAAGCCAATAGCAATATTCACACTTGTTTACATTCATAAATCATCACACAGAGAGTGTGGTACTGGCCAATAATCTTCGGCGGTAACATCACACACATGTTGTGTGACCAGACAATAACAGTTGTTCCGGCTGTCACACACATGTTGTGTGAGCGGCCATTAAAGTGTTAATATCCACTATTAGGTGATGAATTCTAACTTATAGGATACTAATGGGATAATTTTCTTAATAGCCTGCCGTTATGCAGTAGCACTAATATGCCAATACACAATAGCCGGCATTTGTTACAACGCATTTTTATTTTCGAATATTTCGACACGTTTTCAAGGTACATTTTAACACTTAATTACACATACATCTTCATTTATTTTAAATTTGTTTATATTATCAAACGAACATATGTATACTTAAATGTTTTGTATATATTATTTAACATTTTATTCCGCTGTACATATTTTAAATTGTACAAAATTACACATTGGCGCGATATTTCTGCTAATGTGCCCCCCTCCCAAAACAAATTTAATATTTATAATCAATACTTTAAGTTAAGTTTAAAAGTTTATTCATTCTGTAGAAACTACCCTTCTGACAGTTTATATCTACGTTCTGACGAGAATTTCTGACGAAATATTCCTTCTAAAAGTTTATTTTGAATAAATATGTAAATTTATAACGAAACACTGTTTTTCTAAATAAAACCAATTTTTTAAATTTTAGTGAGGGGGCCACACACACCACCCCTATTTCCCTTCGTCCTATTATGCGGTATCGCTTCATTTAAATAACGTCCAAAGTAATAAATATTTCATAACTTTGAATTTAGATTCGATCGAACAAGACTTCGACGAATAGAATTGTTAAATTTTCAATTTAAGATATTGATTATTAACAAGGTTATTATACAAAATGTAAAGAGGGGGGGGGCATAATATATCACCTTCTCCTCTACTGCATTATAACAATTATATTGCGTAACATTATAATATTAAGTTACATATTACAATATAATTACAATGAAGCTGTGCACGATAATGGCGCGACGCTAGCCAGCCGGGCTTAATACATCGGGTGCAATGTTCCGCGAGGAGCTCTCCTATCGCACACCCTCTTGCAGGATCACGTACGTAGGGACGCACAAGAGCATCCCGAGACTACCGGAGACGCTCGCACCGCCGAACTTTCGGTCGGGGAACGATATCAATTTGGCTAACGACGGGGGAGTTTTCGAGAACAGCCGGGGCAGGCTCGTCGGTACCGCGCCAGGATGAATACCGAGTACGCGCGTATGGATGTACTTTCCACGCGACCGACGGTTCCCGAACCGCTCCCTCTTCCTCTCGAGTGCGGTTCAAGTTCACCCGTGTACTCGCGCGCGCGCGTGTGAGCGTGCCATAACCGCGTGATTTATCGTTCTACGTGACCCGACGAGCCTGGCCCTCTCTTCCGCTTTCCTCCAATCGTTCGGCCCTGCTCTTCCTCCTCTTCGTATCCGCTCGTTCTCTCTGGGATACCGCCGAGCTTCGAAGTGTCGGCTGATTTAAAACTGACGCGTATTTTTCTTTACGACGTGGCTAGATAGGGTGGATGGATACCGGCTCGATCAAGCGAACGCCGAGGCGAAAATTTCGATTGCACCGATGAGCGTGAATGTTAAACCTTTCATTCTATCACATAGTGGGAGCTAAGGTAGCAAAATAAGTTCAATATTTTAATAATATATTTTTTAAGTCCGATGAACGTGACTAAAAATTATATTTCGCTAAAAATCCCGCGCACCCGATGTGCAGCGTTGCGAGGGAAAGAATCGGTGCCGGACAGAGAAAGACAGAAGGAGCGCACAGCGTGAATAAAAATCGCGAAGGTAAGAGGATATACGCGCGTAACGTCGCGCACGATTCTCCCTTTGCCGCTCGCATTGACAAGGAAATACAATCGCGCCGCTGAAGAGAAATACAAATAGCTGCAACGTTTCGCAGCCTTCCTTTACACACGGCGCTTCTTCCTCGACGCACGAATCATTCACTTTTACGATCCTTAACCGGGGCGCGCGAGAGCCAGCAGACGAGGTCTTTTAACAAGTTCCGCGGAAGTAGCGTGGTTATAACTCCGCTCCTGTCGGCGCGGCCGCACAATTTCCAAAGATATTTTCAAACATTTTTTCCCCACCCTTCCCTCGGTCGGGTTCGCAGCAACGACGATCGAGCCATCCACCTTCTCTCCCGTGGAGATTCCTCTCGCGTTTTACTGCTTCGCTTTTACGCCTTTCTTTTTGCGTCCGCGCTCTCCGACCTGGTCCGTCCGCTCTCTCTCCGCCTCCGGCTTACCCTTTTCACCGCGCTCGATCCAGTCGATCTGAAATCCCGAATTCGCCCGTCCGCCCGGCTGGTTTTTTTCATTTAGAATTTAATGTTTGATCTCTAGCGACTCCCGGACGACGGAGAGAAAGAGAGAGCGCGCCGAATTCGCGGAAAAAACGTCCGTCGTGCGATAAAGTCCCAGGACGTGGAAAAATACGGTATTATACGTAAGAGACACGCGGCGATGTATCGCGATAGAGGTTATTTTATTCTGGCCGAGATTCTTCTTTTTCCCGGAGTTTGTTAAATTTTAATCGTGAGGGACTGCCGTGTCCTCCTTCCAATCTCTCTCTCTCCCTCTCTCTCTCCACACACACACACACACACACACACACACACACTTTTCGACTAAATAGTGGCTAAAACGTCCAATCGCGCTGCGGAGATGAATCCCGGCCGACCGTGTGACAATTTTTAAGCTGGCCCGTTGCAACGGAGGCCGAAGGAAAAATGCGTACGGTGGCGCGCTTTGGATTCAGATTCAACTGGCGCAAAAAAAGGCGCAAGCGCGTTTGTCGGATCTCGCTGGCTTTCGACGTTGTTAATACACGTTCATTTAATATCACACTGTTCGCGATGGAAAAGCGAGATCATGACGGGGAGAAGGACGAGAGATGCTCGTCAGTTCCGTGAAATGTGTCGTTCCGCAGCGCGCGAGTGACAGCCAGCGAGTAAGCGAAAAATTATCGACAGTATTATATAACGTTTTACGCGACGTAGTAATTCACGATACCACGCGAGAACGAATTACAGAGTAATGTGACCGTCATCGATGCAGTCGCCGCGTGATGCTTCGTTCTATTTGCACATCACGATAACCGACAACGGTTTAGGACACCTTAGTTCTGCGCTAGTCGTGTTTTTTCGATGTTTGCTCGCGCGATATAAAATTACTCTGACGATAACGAGGATATCATCAAATCTCTTTCTCTTTATTATACTTTCTCTCTCTCTCTCTCTGACACACTGTTTGGCGGCTCTACTTCTGATAAAAGCGAAGCCGCTTGTTTATTCATTCGCGAAAACGTAATCCTATTAAAACTCCCGCTGTTTACACTGTCGGCTTATCGTGGAAAAAGTATTCATCATTCGCGTAATATCGCGAGAGGAACTTCTAAGAAATAAATGGCTTCGGGACTTAATG